TGATTAAGGTAAAACAGTGACTAATTTTGACTTCTTCTGATAACTAACAGGACTATGAACTTCTTGATAAATATGCCAGTCATTCAGTGGTTATAAGGGGTGAGCTCATGATATAGAAAGGAAACTGAAGGAGGCAAGATCAAAGCCTGTTTCTAATGTAACTTGTAAGGCCAGAAGTAAATCCATATATCTTCTAACGTCAGAGACATGTTCAGTGGTGGGTTATAAGTAGGATGGTGCTATAGCAAAGTGTAAGCTGTGTATAGAATCTAATTTTTCCAGATGATGTAGACTGAGACATGGAGCAGAGACCTGGAAAATGATACCCTCCCCCACCAGGTTCACAAGAAAAGGATTCATGGTGAGAGCCAGGGCAGTCCTGGCTGTGGTGAGAGAGCGAGAGAGGGAGGGAGGGGGAGGGAGGGGAGGGGAGGGGAGGGGAAAAGGGAGAGGTGCATGTGTGTTGGTCTTTTTTTTTTTAATTTTCAATTATTTTTAAAGATTTATTTATGTATGCAAGGACTGGGTCACAGGCCAGAATTGTGGAGGGGGGATGAGAGGATTCACCAGAGACAGAGTGGGGAGCAGAACAGGCAGAATGTCTGAAATACACTGCTGAGGGGAGCAGCGGGCGAGTCAGGAGAGGTCTGCTGTGCCATGTGGGTAGCTCCCTGGCCAGGGATAGAACTCGTGCTGCAGTGGCTGCGGTCAGCTTCATTGGTTGCGTCTTAGCCCTTTGCGCCACCAGGGAGGTCCCTATGCTGGTCTTTCTGAGGGTCAGTACAGAGAGTGGAGAGAAAGTTCAGGTGAGCTTGTCTTTGTGACTTGGGACATATACTACCTATAGGGGATTTCTCTTTTCTCAAATCTCTGGGGATGTGATGAGGAAAAGAGTGGCAAAGAGATGACTTGTTATAAAAAAATCCTTGAGGCCATTCCCAATAATGATGGAAATCCAGTAAATGTTAAAAGTTGTATGGAATTATGAGATATTCTCAAATCTGCACCTGTACCCCAACGTACACCACACATAAGTAGTACTGCTCATAAGATAGTGTTTACTATATTCCACGAGATAGGTAAGCTTCTAATCCTAGTTCTCTCAGATACTAGCTTCACCATTGGAGAACATTAGGAATGGGATTACCGTAAACATTGAAAATATTTACTTTGTTGAATCCAAGTTATCTCTCCTCTAGTTTTGATGTCAAGTAAAAGACAGAAATTTAAATGAATGATATTTTCACTGGATTAAAGAAATTCCCCCTAGTTAGTGGGTCGAACACTGTCCCCTGAAGTGCGTTGATGTCATCCACGGGTCATAGACCCTGCAGAGACCTGAGTGGTCCATGCGTGGCTTACATCATAATCACCCTGCTGGGATACGTAACATTCATTGGGACAGTGATTTGGTGAGCAGGTAGCCTCTCGGGCTGTGCTGTTCATGAATGTCCTAATTTGCTTCGTTATCATCAGCTGACCGGAGAGTTTCAGTAAGAAACATAACTGAGTCACTCTCTAAAGAGTTGAACCATGAAACAGAAAGAAAAAAGAAAACATCTGGAAACTACATTCTTCACACCTGCCAGGAAGTCAAGCGGTATGGTATAACCAGGAATTGCTCTCTAAAGAAAAGGGAAGAGAGCATTCCTAGTTGTGAGAGAGGGCGGGAAGGAAAGAGAGATGTGTGTCTTCTGGTTTTTCTGAGGGCCATGTAGTCTGAATAGAGACATTTCAGAAGATCAGGTCTTTGTTTCTATGGCTTAAGGCTGGTACTACCTAAACCACAACTCTCTGGGGCTGTTCTAGTCACAGTGGCTGATTAGCATAATTTTTCTTAACAACATGTATTTTTATTTATTTGATTTCTTCCTAAATGGTTAAATAATGATGTGATGTTTTCCAGTAAAACTATTTCTGTTAATGAAGAAGAAAGTATGACTCACAGATGTTAAGAAAAAAATGGTGGGAAAAATAGCACTTAAAAAACTGGTGGTAAGGGGATGGAAGGATACAGTTAGAAAGAGTTTAGTTACTCAAGAGTAAAAAAGAATTATTTTGTTTCAGATCATAAAGTTGACATTGTGGGCCCCTGAGTGAGACATGAAAAACAGAACCAAGATATACACATGTGTATCTTTCTGGAGAAATGGGAAGCTGAAATAAATCTGGTTGCTATGGAGATTAAAACTAAACAAATAACCTCTATGAGGAAGAACCTTTGTGCCGTGGTGGGAGGGGCAGAGATTGGACGCAGCCTCATAGTTCCAAAGATGGCCAAGATTCTCATAGTTCCAAAGATGGAGAGAATTTGATATTTCCAATGTTTGGATTTCTGCATGATGCAGTGGGCCATTGGTGAGAGGACTGGAGAGTGAGATAGTCTCAATTTCCTGTTCAGTAAAGATACTACATATTCAGAGATACTATTGTCAACTGTGATACATCTGAAATATATACTTACACATATATTCACTTGTACACATCAGCATATCAGTAAGTCAAGAGATGATAGATATTACTAAGTACCAAATATAATTGTCTCTCAAAACTACAATATTCACCATGGAGGGCGCGGAGCAGGTTTATATATCTACACTTACAACTAGCAGATGTCATTTTCTATTATACAAAATTTAATGACATGTTCAAAACTACCTACAAGTGAAGCTGATAAATATAATGCAGTAGTCTGTACAGGTGAAACGAACAACCAGAAGTTTCTGCTCCATTTACAAAGAACACATCTTTATGTGAACCCAGTCACCATTTGACACATACTGACACAATAAATACTCTACATTTGAATTTTTCATGGAGATACAGAATATTATCCATGAAGACTGACATCATATGTGTTCACTGAACATGTCACACAGAAGACTTTTATTTGCTCCATGGATGATTAATATTTAAACATCACAGTGACCACATCTCCATTGCTTTTATTTTTCTCGGCAATGATGAATTTACAAAAAAATGCTCTGCACAGATGTGAGCCAGGGACTCCCAACTCAAGCTCACAAAGTAAAGCAAACTATTTCTTTGTTTCCTATTCCTCCTCCTCCTCCTCCTTAACACTACCCCTCCTGTGTCTCTCCTTTGAACAAGTTCCCTGGTGCTGGTAAGGAAGAACTATTAAAGAGGATACAGCAAAGATGTTGGCATCTAGACAGAGCCAGGGATGAGTGGTTTTGCCTATTAGTCAGTAGAAGCCAAATGACCACTGAAAGGAACTCAAAATCTTCTCCATCTTCTTGTGATAAGCAGTGGAAGCAGTTAATTCCAAGGAACAAACACTTAAAAAGAATGAAACCAGCCAAGTTGAATATCAGTGTGTTTTTTATGAACACAGTGGGAGGACGGTGAAAGGGGTGTTTTATCAGGAAACTGTAGACGAGTAAGTAATTATGAGCCAGGCAAGCGTATGCTATCTTTTCAGGAAGGTGTGAAAGGACGACCAGCATAAAACAGGCCAAAAGTGGTAGGATACTTCTGATCTGAACTTGAGGCAGTACGAAGACCAAGACCTCATCCTGTAATATACTTCATAGTCAGTGTTCTTACATTCATCTACACATAGACAAATCTGTACTCTCTATTCTCATGATTCATTTCCTCATAATCTTAACATATGCATCTAAACTCTGTTCTCTATATTTGCCCCTATCATATGAAGAGGGATAATTTTCTCTTACTTCTAGAGCTCTCTTGGTTATCTCTCTCGCTTGTTTTTTTTTTTTTCAATTTTAGGTAAATAGGCGTGCACCATGTCTGGATTCCTTCATGTTGCATGTGACTATAGTTTATTTAGTTCATGCTCTGTCATCCTACAATTTATTGATTATACTTTTCTGAACACTAGGTTGATTTCAGTCAGTTCTATGCTAAAGTGTAATATTCTGAACATTCTATTACATGTATTTTGCTATATGGGCACATTTCTGTTTGGTGAATCCCTAATAGTTAAATTGCTAGACCATAGTGTCCATATTTTATCTTTACCTCTTTATAACTCAGTCTTTCAAACCTTTATTTTCTAATGGATTCACGGGTTACTATAACACTTAATCTTACATATTCATCTCTGTACCCTAATTTACTTTGGATCCTCCTCTAGTTACATATTCTAAAAGCCCATCCACTCTCTCTTACAACCTTTGATTTTCCTATTCTTTTTTTCAAGATACTAATTTCCTTTATTTAAGTACCATTCAGTTACCACACTCTACAGGATTCAGAGGCAAAGGATCATCCTCTTCAGAAGTAATGATTTTCCTATTCTTATGTTGTATCATTATTCTTTTAGACTTTAAAAATAGGTACTAATTATGCTGTTCTCAAGGAGAGTATTCCCAGTGATTACGTTGCAGATCTAAAGAACATATTCAACATATGCACAAATCCATAATCATAGGACATGTGATCTATATACATGAATATGTACCAAACTAACATGATAGGCACAAGGTACACATGCCATCTGTACTTACACAAAGCTTACCCCATAGTCAAATTTGCAAACACCAAATCAATCACACCTTAAACCCTAACCAGTTTTCACTGGTTTGTAAACACTAAGTACATTGTATTTACCACACTATTTTGCTACAGAATATTTATAATACAATACCAAACCCATTCACTAGAGATAATTTAAAACAATGAGAGAGGAGCTTAGTTAACAATGAAATGGTGATAATGACATAGTCATTTCTTCAGAAATAAAATTCCCCAGTTGCCTCTGCTGAGGCTGTAACTCCTTAGGTGGTGGAATGCAAAAGGTAAGGGTGTAAAAACCATAGAGAAAGGCAAATGATACCAGCCATCTAAACCAAGGTGAGTATGTGAAGCCTTAACAGAGAATCCAGATAGAAGCACAGAATACTGAATTATGCCAATTTCCTGCCTAGACTATGGAATACTGTTCAAGATCACTTGGGAGAGGCAGGAACAACACAGCTTTTGTTGATTCTATGATTTAATATTTTACTTTCTAGGCGTCTCAAACATTCTTAAGAATGATCCACAACCAGGGCCACCTTTGGAGAAAAATTCTATGGTTCAGAAGGCAAAAGACAACTCCTCTGCATCAGAATACTTCTCCTGTTATTCTTCTTTTCCTTCTTCCTGTCGTGCTGGTAAGGATATGGGAAAAGGAGTTAAAGTCTAGGTGGATCAGGGTGCTGGGGGCATACAGGCATATGGATATTAAAATAATAATTAAAAAAAAGACATTCAGTTCAGCATCTCTGCTCATTCACCAATAGAAATATGTACGGGTGGTCTGTATATATGCTCACAGCCTTCTCCAGCACCCTCTTACTTGGGGGCCTGTTTCTCTGCCATTCAACAAGAGCTCATCATAAATACTCCTCACTTTTGGGAGTTAGGGAAGGAACACTTTGAATATGTTTAAAACAATATTAAAAAACAAATTAGACATAAATTGGAGCTGAAGAATGGCAATATTAACAGATAAATGGAAAGTATGAAAGCAGGATTAAGATGAATGAGATTGATCATGTGAGCATGTGGTGCATGTCAAATCAAGCTTTCTAAAGGATAAGACAAAACAAGAAAAAAAAAAGTCAAAAGGAGATAATGGTTCAGAAATTTTCCAAACTGATAAAACACATAAATCGTTAGAATTCATAGCTTCAGGAAGCTCCTTGAAATACAGGCAGGCAAAAATAAATCTACAAAAGCAAGTTAGAGAAAAACAGAAAATCTTCAAAAGAGTGATGATTTCCCAGAAAGTATCTTAGAAACCTGATGACAACAGTTATAAAATGTGCAGTTACTGTCATACTAAAATAACTTTATTTTATGATTTCTTTCAAAATAAAATTCAAAAAAATAGAACCTAAAAACACAAAGTGAATCTATTCAGAACAATGAATGAAACACAGAACAGGCATGATAGGAATAAGTGGTGAGCTAAGAAAATAAGTGTGTGGTTTATGCTTTGATGATTCAGTCACCAAAAATAATAATCACTAATTTTAAACTGAGAAGTAAAACAGATATAATAATGTATTGGATAGCGATGACATATAAGATGGTACCTGGTATGCGAAGTTCTTTATTGTATTTGGATTGGGTTATACCATTGATCCAACTAAAAAAAAAAAAAAAACTCTGCACTTGGGAAATTAAAGACATTGGGTGAATTAGGGCTTATCCACCTCAAAAGTCCCCCGGTCAATTGGAAGTTTATGAAGATCCTTATTTTAAGTTCATAAGCACTCATAAGTCATATCAGCACATATTAAACCTTCGCAAGCAGTTTTGCAGCTTATACATTCTTCAGATTTCCTTTTTCTAATCCCATTATTGAAATACCATGATCTCTAACTCATACAAATAACCCCACTCTCAACGAACTCAGTATTTCACACACAAAGCCATCACAATTTTATAACACCTTAAACTCCTCTGTTTCAATTCATTAGGACATTCATAGAATTCCAGTCTGGTAGTTCACATCATGTCCCTCCTGTCTGTCTTTCACATAATCAGCCTATAACACTTCCATCGTCTCAGCAGATGCCATGCAATTATTCAGATTCACACTGTCTTCTAAACCAAATGGACATTGTATAATTACCAGATCATCATTAGTACATGACACAGTTCACTCATTAAACATGGGAGATACACTGCCATATACAAAATCATATCATTCTGTGTCACCAAACCCAACACATGCTATCTTTACATACAATGTAAATGCCATCTTACCCCTTCACTCAACTACATAAAATGTTTGAAGAAACACAACACACAGATAATGCACATCAAACTCTACTCACCACACCTAACACTCACTCTTAAAAATATAGCACACATTTTCCCCATCCCAACTCTGACATGACCCGCTGGGCATTCTCCAGCGATCTAGGAGACAAAGTGTATGTACTTTACTTTGAGAAGTAAAAGTTTGGCTACAGATTTAATTCAGCTTTTTACATAGAAGAATTTAATGTGTTGGGCCTCCCTGGTGGCACAGCGGTTGAGCCGCTGGGCTGTGAAGCTGCCTGCAGCCTCTGCAGCGCCAGTTTGATCTCCGGCCTCCCGGTGAGGGTCCCACATGGCACGCAGACCTCTCCTGCCACCCGCTGCTCCTCTCAGCAGTGTACTTCGTCGGTCTGCCTGTCCCCCGCTTTGGCTCTGGTGAGTTCTCTCACCCTGCTGCGCTTCTGACTGTACCCTGTGCTTGTAAAAATAAATAAATTAAAAAAAAAAAAAAAAAAACAAGTGTACCATATAAGTGTCCTTGTCTCCTTTAGAGTAGGCCCTGAAAGGGTATGATAGGAAGGTTAAAAATCTAAGAGAAATGAACTACATTACATAAGAAGAGTCTAGGGCAAATCTGTGAAGTGTTCATTGGAACATCAACAGCACCAAGCCCAATTCCTAAGGAAGTCTGAAGCAATGCCTATCTATATCTACACATTTCTGTGTTCTGTATTTACCTGCATCTCTATAATTATACAGTATATAATACAATATATAATACCAACATACAATTACTAATATCAATATTAGTAATAAGTACACATATGCAGAATTCTTTAAAGCTAGTACCTCATGTCTGCTATTTGTGCAGTTTCTCACAAGGAAGATGGAGCTAATCATACTCAATTTGAGTAATTGCATATTCTATTTCAGGTATGGTTCTAAGTTCCTGAAATGATTTATCTACAATAATATCACATCTGATACACCTGATCCCACTCATATTCACCACACTCACTATTTTAATAATTGCTGTTTACTTGTATTTTGGAGCAAATGGATTTTCAAATGGGAAAAACACATTAATATTTGGAGTGTCAAAAAGGAAAATCATCTTAGTTTCAATGAAAGTGAGTCTCTCAGGTGGTGATGAAGCCTAACATAATTGTACTCTCTTTGTGTCTTTTCAATGGACTCAGATCTGAGAAAATGCTACATATGAGTTTTTTGTTTTGTTTTATTCCATTCCTTAGAATTACAGAAATATCGAGACAATGCACCTCAGGGCAAGTCATCTATTGTGGCCCCAGTCAAGGATCAGAAAGAAGAAGACTCCTCGACCTCACAATATTTCTCTTGTGTCTCCTCGCCCAACCAACTTACTTTGTTTGATAATGATGGTCAGAAAGGTAAGTGGCACCTGAGCTTGGAGATGAGGGACAACTCAGTGCTCACTCATCAGGATCCCTCATTATTTCACTACCTCCTTGGGAAAAGGCTCTGAGGGCAGAGAAACCAGGACTGAATCTTCCACAGAGGGACAAATAGGAAATGTACCTTCAAGATCAGGCTAAGTTCCTCAGCACAAACATGTGCCCGGTGAACATTGCAGCCACTGTGGGTGAGGCATTTCGTCGGGCCCACCTCCTCATCTTAGCACTGGTTCATCCTCACACGCTCATACATCAAAAAGCTTTCACCCTCTGACTTCTTTTCTGGTGTTCATGTATTCTCTTATACGTGTCTCCATTCCTCATTTGTTTTCCGCATTCTCTAGATCCACATTCATACCTTCATGCCTTTACCACATCATCTTCAGACTCACCCACTCATACACTAACCCTTAAGTAATCTCTACCCCTTCGTGCAGGTAACCTGTCCAAACTCCTTTGCGCTACATCAAATTCTACAGAATGTCTATCCCTGAGGGGAATGCCTCTTCGTGTGCAGTCTTTCCAGTCCCTGTGCCACCTCACCCACACAGCCTCAGCCTTTCACAGACTATCCATTCTGAGAGCCCACAGAGACTTCCTGGGACACTCTCAGCTTCACCATGTCATGGGGAGACCCTGTTCTGCTCCTGCACGTGTTCTCTGCACTGTCCTGACACATAACACACATGCGCACCTCCATATACCAGAATATCTCTACAACCCCACTAGACCTACAGAATTCTGGAAAATTACATATATATGAACATATGTATAAGCACTTCCACTCTGCCTGCCCACAGAGTATTCCCCTAGCCTTCTTATCTCCTCCCGCCATCACATGCACTTGTTCTCATTTCCTGTCTCAAATTTTATTTCCTAGGAACCCATCAATTACATCAAGGTGTTTCTTTTCGATCAAAGTTTCCTGTACCCCAGGACTTGGGGAAAAGGGATAATTTCACCTCTGAGCCAAATATGTCATTTCAGTTACAAGTGGCTAATAAAAAGAAAAAGCACGTCACATTCTTAGAAGATAAGAAAGAGGAAAAGAGCATGAAAATTTACTACATGAATGTCCAAATGAAAAGAGGAGTGGCAGTCTTAGGGGATACGGACCCAGAAATGGGACCTTCCAGAAAGAGAGTAAGAATAGAAAAAATCACCACTTCTGAAAAGGTCCGTCCATCAACGTCCCGCTCTCCTGTGTCTGCATTAAAAGCCCCACCTGCCAATAAGTACCAGGTGGGCAGTGAATACCGAGAGGCAAGGTGGGAGGCTCATGGCTCAACAGAGCCTCCTGCTCAAGGAGAATATCCCAGGGCCCTGACGCCTGCATGGCTGGTGGCCTTAGACCGTGGCTACCGGTGCATGGCCTGCTGCCGGGTCTTTCCCAGCTTAGAGGTCCTGCAGGAGCATGTAGAGAATGGGATCAGAGAGGGCTTTAGTTGCCGTGCTTTCCACCTTGCCTTTGCTTGTCTACGGAGCAAGAAAAAGAAATATAAGAGGAAGAGTAAGAAGAATACCAAGAAGACAATACATAGATGCCGAATTGTGACATACTCTGCCACAAAACCCCTTACCTACAAATAAACTCCCTTCAGCCCCCCAGCCCCCAAAGAGGAATTGAAGCAGGCCAGATTCTACAGAGGGGGCTTCATCTTTTTAAGCAGCCAAAGTTCCACGCATTTTAGACACCACCACTACCATGGGCACTGCCACCTGCCACCCACAGAAGCAAAGAACCCCCATTCATACTATTCTTGCTCTCGGAGGTGGGATGTGAAAACAGAGCACACTGCCAGAACATAAGAAGATGTCCTCAGGCTAACTAAGAACAGTGAACACCAGTGTGTCATCATCACCACCACCATGGAGAAAACAGTCTCCTTGCAAGTGGAACTGGTGTGGGCCAGGTTATAGAAGAGGTAAGAACTGCTGAGGTAAGAGAAACAGCTCAAGGATACTTGAGATTTTCAGGGTTCTTAAAAAAGGTGGGATCCATCAGAGATGCCTTCCCACCTTCCATAACTGTGGTGAATTTCCTTGAGGAGAATACATACTGGGAGGCAGAATGCTTGCTTGGAGAGAAGTTAATTACAGTGCCCTCTTTCTGTGTCCTTGTAGGGAATAGGCATAAACACTGGTCCAGCAGGAGTGAGAAGGTGGGGCCTGCCTAGGTATAAGCCAAAGGTCATGGAGGTCACATCCCCTTGCCTTCACCAGGCACAAGGCAAGCCAGGCAGTGTCAAGCCACCTCTCCCTGCATGTGTGCGTCCCTCAGTGTGTGCGGGTCACTCATGGCTGGAGCCTGTGCTGGGCGAGAGAGTCCCCTCAGACTCCGTGCTGTCATTTCCTACCTCAGAGATTGCCAAGGAGTGGCAGCCGCTTGAAAGACTCAATCAGGGGATTCTTCGAGAATCCTTTTCCCTTAGAGAATCATTCCCATGATATATTCAAGGTTCCTCAAAAGTGCCAAGTGTAATTGCAGAAGAGGTGACTGATGTTCCTTAAGTCATTTTGTGGTCACTTTTGATATCTTTTTGGGGAATCCAAGTATACTCTTGTGACAGTTCATAGTTTTTACATCTGGTTCTTTTGGTTCCAATATCAGTGTCTTGTTCTAAGTGACCAGCAAGGGGCTGAAACATAGACAAAGCTGCAAAGGCAGAGCCGGGTTCAGGAGAGTCTGTCTTTTCTGGGAACAGGACACGTGTGGGGCTCTTCCTCCATGCTCCAAAAGTCACAGTGGGAACATGCAACCTGGAAACGGTCCTGAATTTTCAAAGGCCGCAGGAAATGCTGACGCAGGCTGAACGCCTGTCACTAAAATGAAAAGTTGCCTTTTTCTGTACTGAATCTTTGTCTTATTTTTTCTCACAGGAGCCCAGGCCCACGGCCCTGAGGACATGAGGTGGCGTGTCCAGCACACCACAGCAGTGTGAAGAGAGCCTTGGGGTTCACGTGAATTCCACACCCTCGAGGTAATTCATGTCTATAGCAGTTGTGCCTGGTCATCTGCCATCGCTCCCAAGTGCCTTGGTAAAGTATGATTCTCAGCTCTGCGGAAAAACATCTACACAGAGTAGTGAGGAGCCTGGAGAATTCTTCATTCACAGAGACCATTGGAAAGAGTTTGCTGCTAATCCCCCTTGGAGTCAGAGGCCCCAGGACTCACCTGCAGGATTGCCTTATGGAGAAGAAGACACAGAGCTATGGAGAGAGTAGGGCAGCAGGAGGCAGGTTTTCCCAGTGTAGGGCTTTATCCACAGTAAAACAAAAGATTGATTACAACTAGCAGGAATTTAGGGGAGGGGACTTCTAAGTTGAGAGAAGGTTGAAAAGGATCATCTAATTTCTCTTCCCACTTTGAGTTCTACTTCTGTCTTCTCAATGTCTATCATTTACTGTGCTTTTGAACATCTGGCTCATTCTCTTCCTCTCTAATTGCTGTTACTCCATCCAACTCACTCTCTCTCCTGCATACTATGCATATATTTCAGATGCAAGAGTGTAAGCACTACAGCTTTTTAAATCATACAGATTACAATACACCATCTCCTGTGGATTCACCCCACACATTGTATCAAAGGTGTTCTAACAGCTTTGCACGTTTATCTTTTTTTAAATGAACAGAAACTTATTTCCATAGCACCTCTTATATACTTACCTACAGTATATGGCTGCAGGGCAGACTTTCTTATTATTGAGAGAGGAAAAGATAATGAGCTGGTGAAACCACAGGCAACTTGAATCCCTTGTCTGATCTTTGGACACCAGGTGCACAAACACTTCTTCACCAGTCATGTTAGGAAGCATGGAAGATACACCTAATAGTTTCACACTCATAAGATATGCATATGGAGAGCAGTTCCAAAACTAATAATACAGTTTTATGCTTAATAACCCTGGAAGGGTAAAAGCTACCAATTTTTGACACACTATCATTTGTATGCCATTTACTATTGAATTTTACACATTTTCAAAGATATATTTTGATTTTCTTGTTACTTTGACATCTTTAATCAGAGGGTCAGAAATAAAAAATAAAAATTGAAAAAAAAAAAAAAAACATTGCCATAAGACTATATAGGTGTAGGGTAAGTGAAAAATTATCAAGCTTTTCTATCCTCCCGCCGTTAGCATTCATGATGGATCCCTGTAGTCCTGCATGCACGCCTGATGGCGGGCACCTGGAGTAGGGTGTGGGCATGCATAGGTGGGCACACCTGGGCTGAGACTGGACTTATAAGGGTGGGATCACAGGGACACAAGCAGAGAACAAGAGAACGAGAACCATAACGAGAGCAGAACCAGCAAAGCAGCAAAGGAAAAGCAGAGACCATGAGAGAACGCCAGAGAGCCCAGAAAGAATGAAGACTCGCTAGGGGCTGGGAGGCCTGCCAGCCTCCTGCCCCCTGCCCCAGTCCCCCTGCCTTGTAAAAAAAAAAAAAAAAGTTTTTACATGAGTATGGCAAACAGGTACATGGCAGGGGGCCAGAGGGTGGGGATGGCAGGCTTCCCAGCCCCCGGGGAGTCTTCACTCTTTCTGGGCTCTCTGGCGTTCTCTCATGATCTCTGCTTTTCCTTTGCTGCTCTGCTGGTTCTGCTCTCGTTATGGTTCTCATTCTCTTGTTCTCTGCTGGTGTCCCTGTGATCCCACCCTTATAAGTCCAGTCTCAGCCCAGGTGTGCCCACCTATGTATGCCCACACCCTACTCCAGGTGCCCTCCATCAGTCATACATGTAGGACTGCAGGGATCCATCATCAATGCTAATGGCAGGAGGGCGGAAAAGCCTGATAATTTTTCACTTACCTTACAAAAGGAGAAGAGAAATTAGAATAGCTCAACTTAAATGATGCTTTTTAAAATTGGTAGCTTTTACCCTTCTGAAATTTTTAAAGCTTAACATTGCGCTATGGCTTTTGGCACACCTATCTGCAGCATATCTGATTATCTTGAAACTATACTGTCTTCCCTTCTTCCCAGATGTATGTGTGTACCTGTGTATGCACAAGTTCATAAAAACCATGTGATGGGTGAGGGTTGCTTTTGTTTTCATCTTGTTTTAGTGTTGTCCCTTCTTCCTCGGGTAAAATATCTCTGCCTTCTAGCCAGATAAGTGGGTACGTCAGTCAGCCTAACAGGTCAAGTCATTTCTGCTTGATTCCCATGATTGACCTAGGTGCAAACACCAATCTATGTGGGACTAATCTGTACAAATAGCTGGGAAAATTAGAACAGAAGACATCCAGATAGTGAGGGTGAGTGGTGAATGGTGAGATTTCCTCTCAATGCTACTCAAGGTCTCGACGCATCTACCATTGGACTTGCTTCAATTCCTCTTATTTAAAAGACCTGGCTTTTTCAACTGTTACCTTAATTCCCTAAGTATCCCCAGCATCCTTCAATAAATTGTTTGCTTGAATTAACCTGAGTCATTTACTGTTGCTTGTAACCTAATATACCTTAATTGATGCACATTAGCATCAGCTTAATCATTTTAGTATTTTACCAGTGGAAATGCTTGTCTGGGAAGGAGTAACACATTATATTTCTCTGACTTTATAGTGAAAAAGGGATGTACTATGTGGTGTGTATCTTATGTCCTTGATTAATTAGGAAGGCGTTTTAAAAATATGTGGGTGAGTAAATGAACTGATTAGACTTCAACATTTGGCCTTGAATGCCGCTTAGCAGTTTAGTGCACGTTCTGATTTCATGTTTGCATCCTAAACATGGAGTTCCTAATATGTAAAATAATAGTACTTGTCACTCATCATATTTTTTCTTGACTGGGAAATATTAGTGAAGTAAAATGCAGTCAGGAATTCCTCGCCCTTCCTGCAGTTAGGTCCAAGGGTCAGTGCATTTCACTAGAACCACAAGAATGGAAGCTGAACAGTTAGCATCGATCACATTGTTTATGTCAAGGAAGAGTTTATCACTTTACCTGGCAGTGTTAAGTACTATCTGCAGTATTTAAAGATTATCTCCATACAATGTACAAGGATATATGTTTTCTATCAATAGTAACAGTTCAGTGTAGCAACCTCACTGGACTGAAAATGTTCTCATATCATGAGGATAATGAGCATTTGAGTACCTCCCTTCATTATAGAATGAACCCACAATTCTCATGAGCCTTTTAGTTCAAAGTCACAAATAATAGAGAAAATCATTTGATGAAATTGCAAATCCTAACCTTCATTTTCATAGGAAACAAAATTGTTTTTTTTTTTACCCCTGGGGTGAAAGTTACCATGGTAACTTTTGTAAAAACTGTAAGTAACAGAGCATTACTATAGCAATCAAGGATTGATTATTCATTCTGGGAAACAGGAAAGGCTGGCAATAGGCATAACCTGCCTCCTTCCTTTATCTTCTTGGTATTTCGTTCCTGCACTGGAGACAGTACTTGTATTCTGCTTGTTGCCCTCCTGGCTATAAAGTTTCTCAAACTGGGGGCATTGCAAGTAAAATTTTGAAAACATTAAACTAATTGATGCCATTCTCCATCTCCGCCTAGAAGCTGCAGTCATTCCAATGACAACAGTGGAAACTGAATATCATTTTAGGAAGAAAACATGAATTTTTAAGGGAAATTCCTGACACATTAGAAGAGGCAGAACAGTCCATCCTGGTGAATCTTGGTGAGAATGTAGAAGTGGGAAGAGTAGGGTTATGAAAGACAGAAGAGGCCAGGTAGTCATGTGAGTACTTTTCTCACACATTTCTGAGAGTGTAAAGACATAATCAAATCATCTGGAAGTGTGTGAGGAAAAACCATTAATAAAATAAAAAAAACCATTAATAAAATAAAAACCAAAATAAAATTTTATATAGGGATAGACTGGCCTGGAATTGGGATTTAGAAACAAGGACTACAGGCTTTTCTAGCTCTCAGGTTCTCTGCCTCATTCAACAGAGTATGGGAGTAATTTTGCTTGAAATTGGCAGAGAGAAGTGTTTAGGCCAATTATCAAACAGGCCAATTATAAACTTGGGTATGCCATGTTTTTAAATGCCTATTTTCAGATTACAGTCCTGGAGGTACATTTTAAATTTTATTTGATATGGTCAAATTAGTATCTTTAGAGGTTGTCTCTGAATATCTTTTCCCCAGTTTTACCAATGGATTGTGTTGGCAAAATTTGGACTTTTCATCAATCATATAGGTATAAGTAATGCATCTATTGCTTTAATTTACTCTTTAGTGAAACAGTATATTTCAATTTGTTGAAAGACCATTTGACCTCCCCTGTCGCGCCCGCTGTTCCCCTCAGCAATGTAGTTCATCAGTCTGCCTGTTCTGTTTTGTGCTCTGGCTCTGGTGAATTCTCTCACTCTCCCGTGCTTCTGACTGTACCCAGTGCTTGTATGAATAAATAACTATTTTAAAAAGACCATTTGAATTTCCTGTTTTGTGAGCTATCTGTTCAAGTTTCCTCTTAGATTCGTTCTTAATTTTTAGGAGACTGTGTATATAAAAGGGAGATTTTCTTATAATTTGTTATTTGCCTATTTGATTTAGTCATATTTTAAGTAGAAGTTTTTCAGTTTTTATAGAGCTATATTCTAATTTATTGCTTCTGGAATATTATTCATAATTAGGAAGATATCTGTGCTCCTGGGTTTTAAAGTAATATATCATTATTTTTAGTGTTACTATTTTTTCATGTTTTCTATTAAAAATACCCTGTAGTTTGAGGTATAGATTCAATGTTATCTCTTGTTCCCAAGTAATTAAGTTGCTGTAATTTCATTTATCTAAATGCCCATTTTTCCTCAGTGCTTTTGCAACTTTGCGTCCTGTGATTTGCATTCTTTATCATATGTACTAAAACTATACGTGCTATGGTCTAATTCTAGATTTTTGCCCATCCTCGTTTTTGTCTGTCTCTGTTTCTCATTCATATTCTCTTTCCCTGTCCCCAGTACAACATAGTGCCTTGTGTAATATGTTTTAATATTTCACAGTATTAAGCAGCTCTCTTGTGGTGTGGGGGATTTCTTGGATCTTTTTTCTTAATTTTTCTCATGTGAACTTCAGAAAAACTAATCTTTGTGATCCTAGATCCATCTCCATAGTATTTTCCCACTAGTTAAATCTACTTTTCAGAAGTATTTTAAAGTATTTTTCAGAAGTATTTTAAAACTATATTTTAAAGGTTTATTTGTCTCTTGTTAGGTTTGGTTTTAAATATTGATTGTGGCATTTTTTTCTATGACCTCTTCTAATTGGCTGATGTGTTTAAGTGTGAAGGTTGCTGACTTATATAAACTGAGCCATGCAAAACTACGTGTATTTATTAAAGAATCTAGATGGGGTAGTTAAGCTTGAGAACAGCCTTCATACAGGTTCTGAGGAAGTTGCCTGAATTTTAAGCCTCACAATGAGAATTTCATGCACTGTGCAAGGAAAAAATTGTCAAGGAATTTTTTTTTTTTTTTTTTTACACAGAGAAAGTCTTGGGAGGTGTCTGGTTTATCTATTTGATACTGTCTATGTTTTGGGGAAAACCAGGAGCATTGTTAAAATTCGCCCTGTGCACACGGATCCCTGTCTTCCAAGAGATGGGATTTTTAGTAATGCTGTACCTTGAAGTCTGTCTTTTTTGAAGTTCCTGACTTGCTTAGAGCAGCTTTTGGTTGGTGATGACTCAGTTTCTTTGTAAGGCCAGGCCAGCTGTGTTGGGCTCTTAGCTTGTACCACCAGGGAGAGGGCTACCCCTTAATTTTTGATTTTAGGGTTTTTTTGTTGTTGTTTAGTTGTTTTTTTTTCATAGTTTTTTTTTTTTTCCTGAAAGCAGTGATTATAACAATGATGAGATTGAAAGATTTTATGATGTTTTTGAAGAGAAATTTGACTAGTTTTTTTTTCTCAGATACTCAAATTAGAAATAACTTCATCATAAAATGAGGGCTTTGGCTTTGTAATTACAACTATGAGCTGTGGAACTAGGCTTCTAAGATAGCTTCTCTGTAAACTTTAGTTACTTCTGCTCAAGTTCTGTCATCCCTTTGGGTATATCAATAGTTCTTATATCCTGGTGCTATTGTGTCTATTTCATATAATAATCTATGATAAACATCAACTTGCCCACAGTAAGATCTCATGATATTTGTCAAAAATAACACCTTCAGTCTGTCGTCACTGCTAAACTGATGATGTGACTCATGATAGTATATGTGA